CGGAGTACCAAGCCGCCCTTGAGGAGGCCCTGCAGCACGCGCTGGAGGCTAGCTGGCTCGAGGACGACGCGCACTGGGATGGGCTGGAGCAAGCCCTTGCTCTGTCGGCGGCGGAGGACTCCGTCCACACCCCGCTCGTCGTCCTGCCACCTCCCGTCGAGTCCAAGCCGGAGACGGAGCCGACGCGGAAGCGCTCCCCGCCTCCACCCACTTGGCCGGAGGAGGCCTACACGTGGACCGGCCTGTACCGCGAGTAGGTGAGCACGCCTCCTGTCCACTACGCCGCGACGCGAGAGGAGGAGGCGGCCCACCTTGAGCACTCGAAGGCGCACTGGCTCGCCCAGGAGGAGGCCGACGGCGAGCGGCAGATATGTTACGAGCAATTGCTGCAACGCGACACGGAGGCGATGTGGCTTGAGGAGGAGGAGCGCGCGCGGCTAGCCGCAATGCCGTCGCCCCAGCAGACGCCGAAGGAGGCTGCCATGGTAATGTTGACACTCGAAGGCCCACCAGGCGGCGTTCGGGTGGGCTCGCCCTGCTCCCGTCTTCATCGACCTCACCGGCCATGGTGACGTCGACGACAAGGGCAAGGGCAAGGCCGGTGACGTCTAGGGCAACGTGCAGGATGGCAGCGTGCGGGCGCAGACTTTAATTAATGTTTAATTAGGTTTATGTAGACTTTGGCCGGCGGTTGACCGGCCACTTATGTTTAATTATGTTTATTATTGTGAGCTGTTTTTTCATGCCGACATATTTGAGTCCACCTCCCGTTAGGCGGTCAAGCCGTTCCATTTGATAATGTTGACACGTGTGTTCGCCTGGCCGGCCCAAACAAACAAAAAAGCGACAAAGCATGTGTCCGTTCGGTCGCCCCCGTTTGAGTTGCTCTTCTATGGCGATGGCGGCGGCCCGGGCGGCCAGAGCGCGCCTCGGCAGAGCGGGCACGCCCGGATCCACCGGACGGCGTCACACGCGGGGTGGAAGAAGCGCCCGCACCACATGCATAAAGCGCCTTGGCGTACTCCGACAGGCAGAACACGCAGCAGCGCTGCCTCGCCCGCCTCCAGCGTCGCCTCGCGGAGCGCGCACGGAGGCGGCGACGGCGACGGCGACGATGATCACCGCCACGGCGCTTACCTCAGCCACCTCGAGATTGAGCGCCACGGTGGAGCTTATGTCTTTCTTCCTGGACTGATCGATCGAACGAACGGCAGGGCACGACAGTAACATCTTCTTTGCTCCAGCTTAAGGCCTTTTTTGGTTCTAGGATAGGATAATCATAGAAATAGGAATTTTGTAGAAAATGAGATGGTATGTATCTTAAATTCTATGAATAGGAATAGGAAACAAGATGTCATTTGGTTGACACCAAAGAAATTTTTCCATTAAATCTAGGCTTATTTTTATTTTCCTATAAAATGTGAAGGATAAAAACCAATTCTATGTAGGAATAGGAATCTATTTCTATGAACCAAAGGGCTCTAAAGAAAAAAATCCTATCCTCTAGAACTCCTATGAAATTCCTCCAAACCAAAGGAGGCCTAAAATCTGTTCTTTCCCGTCTCACTTAACTCGGCTAGTGCTCTGGTGGGCAAATTTCCTTCTTGCAGCGGCCAACTCGTATAAGCTGGAGCAAAGTTGTATTGGTAATTATGCAACTTTATTTACAATAGAAGTTTGTGGCTAGCATTTGCTTACGATCAAAATCTGTCTGCGAAACAAGAAATGACTTCGCAGCAACATTAAAATCATAAACTTAGTATGGTTAGTAATAAGCTGAAAAGACCTCAACGAAGGTCATGTCAACCTAAGGCCAACCAGCATGGAACAGCCACAAAAAATAAAGAAAGGGTGCCAGACTAAAGGATTAAGATTAAGATCCAAATGCCAGCACGGCACATAATCCAGATAACACAATCTATAACTCAAGCGACATAACCAAAACTCAAAGGAACAGGCCCGTTGGGCAGGGTGCCAGACTTCAACAAAAACGCACGTTGCAATACTACACTGGGGTGGACAAGAACGCTCTTCACTCGTCGTCCTCCTCGTCATCATCGGCGGCACCGGCAGAGTTGTTGAGGGCGTTGAGCCTTTCGACGAGGCTGGCCTTCCTCTGCTCATAGGTCAGCTTCTTGGGGTTGTACCTGCATCAGAAAGACGATGTTCAGAAAGCAGCTCACAATGAAGTCGAGAGTAAATGTACTCAAGACAGTATGATAAAGAGCTTGCCGACTATACATACCTCTTGTGAGTCTTGGGAGGCGCCTTGGTTGACTTGGCCATGGTGGGATCAGCACGGATGGCGGCATGAACCTTCTTGTAAACTGCTTCCATGTCATCAGCGGAGATTCCCCTCTTGATGTACTCACTGAAGTGAGTTTGGAATTTCTCTGGTTCCTCATCTGCTAGCGACTGAAATAAGAGAGGCAAAAGTTCAGTAAGAGATGAAAGAGGAACTAGGGTCTTTTCACTGCTCTAGATACAACAGCATGAACAAGGGTCAAGTAATACAGAATCAAGAGAGCAATGGCTGCCAACTCACCCTCATGTAGTCAGCAACATGCCCTCCAAAGATGTACTTGCGGTGAATCTCAGCATCCAGAGACTTCTCGTCCTTTTTGAAACCAGCAAATCTCTTATCACTGTGGGGAATGTCAAGGCCACCATCCAAAGCTCCCTGCAGGACCAAAAATAATTACACCAGCAGCAAAAAAGCTCTAAAGGGATACAACCAGTGAATTCGAAAAACAAAATAAGTTCTGAAGTGCAGCAGAATAAGGAGCAACATATCACATCCAATGCAAATAAAAGATGAGAACAAACAGCAATAACAATGATTTTTCCCTAGGTCAAATAACATAAATAGTTGCTATAGAAATTTGACACAGTAGAGCAGAACAGCTATAAACAAGTTACAGAGCAATCATGCAATTAAACTCCCAAGATCAAAGGAGCTAAAGTAGAACGGACAATCATGATTTGCCAATAGTTTCATGTCAAAGGCTTGTGACAACGAGTGCCTGTCTTCAATTATAAAATTGTACAGTAATAACATAGCATACCTTAAGGGCACCAAACACACGGTTTCCAGTGGTGGTCCTGATAAGACCAACATCCAAGAGCGCACGGAAAGGCCTCCTCTCATCAGAAGGCTCAACAGAGAAGTCCTCACCAGTGGCCTGAGCACAGACATATAATAGTTGTGTTCATCAGAAGCAGCAAATCAGGATATTAGACTGAAAATAATGTTGAAGCCAGATTATACCTCAACATTGCCTTCATACTCCTCATCAAGATCACGGTTCTTAAGCACACGACGAGCCAAAAGCAGACCAGTGCAGTAAGCTACACCATGCGTTCAGAAAATTAGATTAGAAAAGAGGCATGCATAAGATCACAGCATGCATTTGCGCATTCATTCAGTAGCTAAAATCAACCTGCAGCATAGTTGGTGAGGCCAACTTCAAGACCATAGCGAGGCAACTCATGGGAGTAGGCAGCGGCCATCACAATATCACCAGCAATGGTAGCATAAACAATTTGTGCAGTGACATCCTTGTTGGTCTAAAGTACTATTGTTAAGCAATACAAAATATCTCCATGGTAATAATAAGCAGAAGCATATAGATGATTCACAAGTGCACAAATTATAATGAAGAAACTTTGAAGGATACAAATCGCACAACAAAACGGTACTTAGGAGTGTTGTACTTGTTCTTGTCCTGGTTTGTGAGCCTCAGCCTGGCCCTGTAGTCAGTCTTGCCCTCTGAGAAAACAAGGGGAAAAGGAAAATCCCACAATCAGAATCGCTGTTAGATGACAAGTAGCAGATTCATGGAGCGGCAGGTGTTGAAGACTTACGGCGCCTTCTCTTGAACTTGACTTGGAAACGCTTGGAGTACGCCCTTGTCTTCTGGTTCTTGATGTACACCTACAAGACATATCAAACAGAAGCACATGAGTACACCTAGGTTTGGAACATCAGTGCTACCCAGGAAATCCTAGTAATCACTCACGCGGCACAAACAAAACATTTAAGACAAGATTTTAAGTGGTTCATAGTTCCATTAAATGACGAGAAACCTCATGGAGCATCCCAAGTTAGGAATAATCACAACTGGTAATTCCTAAATGAACCCCGAGTCTACTGTGCGAGCAGAAACAAAACCACACCAACAGTCATCCCTCGTCAATCCACCACAATGATGAATCTGGTCTAAGAAATGGGAACTTCTCGCATCAGTTGTTAAACGATTAGCGCAGGCAATACTACTACGGCATGATTCGCGAGCAACAAATTCTTATGAAGCAGCAGAAATCCAGATCTAGCAGATTCTACGAGCTGCGAGGACGATTACTCCGCGACACAGAGCAAGCACACCGCAGATCTGACTAGGAGGTGCTAAACCCTAAAGCCCCGGGTCACAAGCTATGAAACAAATCGAAAACCTAGGCGACGGCCACCGCGGCGGAGGCGCACGGAAGCCAGACGCTGCGGGCGGACCGAAGCAGCAGCCATGGAGGAAGAGGAGAGCAGAGGAGGTCGGACGTACCATCTCGCCTGCGAGGAGGGAGCTCCTGCGGAAGGAGGCGGCGGCGGCGGCGGGGGCGGGCGGGCGAGCGAAAGGGCTAGGGATGGGAGCAGCGTGGTGGCACTTATATATACGAGGGGGCGGGCCTGGCTGCTTGCTGGGCCGCGCTGCGAGTCGCCCCCGAATGGGTGGGCCTCTTTCGGTCTGCCTCTAAGGCCCATGAGCTGCGTTTCGGTTTCTTTTTCCGTGGGCTCACTGGAGAGGAGAGCATAACGCCCGCTGTTGCTGTCGCAGTTGCAGAGGGAGAGAGCAGTTGCTCGTTCCTTCGCTCGTCTCCCGTTCCGTGTCCCTCCGGCGGATCACCGTTGGCGATGGCGATGGCGATCCCGTCCCTGCTCGCGGCGCTGCTGGCCGGCTGCGTCATCCTCGCGGTGCCGACGACGGCGACGGACCACGTCGTCGGGGGCTCGCTCTGGTCCATCCCCACAAGCAGCGACTACTACCGCAACTGGGCGGGCAACACGACGATCTTCGTCGGCGACAACCTCGGTGAGCCACCCATCACCGTTCCTCTCAAGCGCGAGCGCTACAGAGCACGAGTGCAGTTGGTGTCTGTTCTCTGACGAGAATGCGTGCGTGCGTGCAGTGTTCAGGTTCGACGCGGGGATGTACGACGTGGTGGAGGTGGGGGGCTGGGAGTACAAGGCCTGCTCGTGGGTGGACCAATACTCGGACACCTTGAAGAGCAGCCCCGCCGTGTTCCACCTCGACTTCGCCGGCGTCAAATACTACGTCTGCACCATCGGCAACTACTGCTCCCTCGGCGTCAAGATCTGGGTCTCGGTCCAGCACGCCTAGCACAGCACGGTGCCTCTCGCCCTGCAATCTCTGCAGTAATAAACTCCTTTCAACTGCTACTCCTGTTTTCTTCTACGTAGTATGTTATTCCAATATAATGGAATTGTGCTTAGGTCGACAATAATGGAAATAGATCATAATGTGCATGGTGATGATCATGATGCCAGCCTGATTAAAAACCTGATCAAAAACCACAAACATGCTTTGCAAAATTGTCCACGGTTCTGCTTAGACAACGCGTATTCAGACAGCGTTCGTTAGTTTTCACAAACAGATTGCTTTTATACGAGTATCACACTACATTAAGAGTAGCCACGTAGCATTTTTCAAAAGACATGGATGGATACAGCCCCGGCGCCAAACGGGCAAAAATCAGCTTCATCGATAACACCACCAAAACCCCAGAGAGCAGGCAGGCATCTTGATCTTGGGTCCCCAAAAAGCTTGCCCAACCCTAGCTTACTGTTGTGCGCACTGCACTCTTTGGGCACCGCCTCCAGGCATCTCGTCGTCCTCGTCGTACGCCTCCTGAGCAGCAGCATGGGCTTTCCTGCGCATCTCCTCCTCCATGTTGACATCATGCATCGTCGTCTCCTCGCATTCGTCAAGCTCCATGTCGGTCAGCTTGGATGCAGGCTTTGGTGGAAGCACAGCCTCGAGAGCCTTGCACTGATCCGGTGCCAGCGAGTCGGGGAATTCCACTGTGAAATGAATGTAGAGCTTGCCCTTCATGAACGGCCTCTGGTACATCGGCATTCCCTCGTCGCTGATTGCCTTGAATGAATCTGCTCAGATTTTGAAACCAAAGATTATCATCAACTACATTTTTTGCATGAACATACACATTGGTCGCTGAGATCTATGAGGCCATACCAGGCTTGACAATTTCACCAGGGTTTGATTTAATGAGCAGCTGCCTGTTGTCCAGATGGGTCAGGACGAGTTGGAACCCACAAAGAGCTTCAGTGAGAGATATGGTATGCTCATAGAAGAGATCATCGCCCTTTCGCTTGAACTTCGGGTGTTCCTTCTGCTGGACGACAAATACAATGTCTCCAGTAACAGTGTCAGGCTGAAAACAAAACACACTGTTAGTTTGTGGACATCGAAGCAAAGCTACACAATAAAGAGTAATAAAGAATATCATAGACTGAACAAGCGTACCGCCTCATCAGCTTCACCAGGGAAGGTGATCTTCTGGTTGTGTTGCATCCCCTTCTCAACGTGAACCTCCAGAACTTTCTTCTCCTGAAGAACCTTCTCACCCTTGCAGCCTGGGCAGCGATCCTTGTCATTAATACTCTCCCCGGTGCCCTTGCAATCATTGCAGGCCTGCTGCATCTGCTGTATCATGGAAGGCCCCAGCTGACGAATAGTCACTTTCATGCCTGAACCCTGGCAACCTGGGCACCTCATGGAAGCACCAGACTTGGAGCCCTTGCTGAAATAAACAAGGAACTATGTTCAAGACCAGCACTACAGAAAACACATGGTCAACTGGGAAGGAACAAACTAGACTTACCCCTTGCACTTGGAGCAGAGGACGCTGCGGGAAAGAGAGAGCTTCTTCGAAGTACCATTGTAAAGATCTTCTAGAGAAGCTTTAAGTGGATGGACAACATCCTCTCCCCTCCTTTGCCTTCTGCCCCTGCTGCTGCCACCACCACCACCTGTGCACAAAATATACATATGCAATTTATTTATTGCATCAAGACGGCATGCACTATATAACAGAGTTTGATGGTCAAACAGAAAAATAGGTTGCCTTCAAACAATACCTCCAAAAGAGGGCCCGAAAAATGATGAGAAGATGTCAAATGGATCAACTCCACCACCTCCTCCTCCACCCATTCCCTCCTTGAGAGCATCTTCGCCATACTGATCATAGATCTCACGCTTCTCAGGGTCACTCAAAACCTCATAGGCTTGTGCCAGCTCCTTGAACTGAAATAAAATTTAAACAACACATACATTTGAAATAAGCCTTCCATTCTGCAGATCGTGGTAAATCAGCAGATAATATTGGCATGAGAGCAAAAACAACAGTACAGAAAAACGACAATGGTATATTTGCGCAAACTAGATACATTTGAACCCTTCCCAGGCAGAATCCCATCACATCCAATAACTTTTTTCACAGTTTAAAGAGTAAATTTTGTTAAATTTACATCAAAGCAAGAAATATCATATTACACAACATAAGCAAGACAAAAAAGCAAATTCTGTACCACTCCACCACAGCAAAGTAACAGAATAAAGAGATTACAGTTGTCAAGCAGATCAATCACCCAATATATCACAGATAAGCAAGAAGCATAATAAATAAACAGACATCATACAGATCTAAGAACTGTCCAACAGATAAATTACCCTGATAGATCACAGCATTTAACTAATAGAACATTGTCCTAACAAACTGGCCACTTTTAGTAAGGGAATCTGCATCAGAGCAAAAATGGGGGTGCTGTAGAAAACCATAAGTTCCACATAGATGTCATATGATAAGCTTCATAAAAGTCCAAAAACAGATAAGGCGAATGATCCTTCGTATGAAATACAGACTGGACGGATATCATTTTCTGTCAACAGCATGGGATTTGACACTTCCATACACAATTATCAGCAGGGACATCGTGCATGACCAATGGAATGTATAACCACCCCATGTGATAAGCTAGCTAAAAGATGGGCTTCCATGATATGGGAATGTTGCATGTCCCACATGCTGCCCTATTGATGGACTCCTATATAACAAGTAACAACTGGGAACAGTCACTGTCGAGGGGTGGTGGAATTGTGGTGCGTGAGGTGACATTCTCATGTATTACTCGTGGCGACATCAGAGCAAGAAGCATCAGATGTCTTCCCATGACACTAACAAAACGGTTGTCCGCCTTATAACGAACTATAAAAGACGACCAGAAATATGCATTATCCACAGATGAATCACCAAATGAGTACTATCCAACCAGGAGCATTTTTTAAGCTACTAAGTCTTAATTAACAATGAAGATGCAAAATAACTGCCCTGCAAAAAGATGCAAACAACTGTACTTCTGTTCCCCGAATCTAGCCAAATTTACGCCGAGGGAAACTTTACTATACGTATCAGTAGCCAGCACTCCAGAAAGCAATAGCCGTCACCCAAAGATCGCGATCATGACCACTTCACATCAAACCACAACAAACAGGGCAAGCACTCCTTGACTAGCCACAGCAAATCCTCTTCTTTTCCTTCTGCGAATCGCCACTGCAAATCCTCGAAGACGCAACGGGAGCTACAAACCCCAGCAGAAGCAGATCGTCATCAACCCACACAAAATTCGCAGCTCGGCCACATCACAGATTGCCCCTACGCGAATTGACTCCCTGCACCGAACGAACTTCCCGCGCCCGATCTATCTAGTTCTACCTTGCCATAGCAGATCAGATCACACCAGATCGCGCCCGAACGGACCGAAAAAGTAGCAGCTAAGACGCGATGATCGCAGGGGAGGAGGGGGGGATCGGACCTTCTCGGGGTCTCCGCCCTTGTCGGGGTGGTTCTTGATGGCGGCCTTGCGGTAGGCCTTCTTGAGGTCGTCCTGGGCGGCGTTCTTGGGCACCCCGAGCACCTCGTAGTACTTGGTGTTGTCGCTCTTCTTGGGGGCGCGGCCGAACATCTTGGCCGGCGGGGTGGTGGGTGGGATGGGTAGGCCCTCCTCGCGCGCCGCCGCCGGTCGCCTCTCTCCCGCGGGCGTGGGAGCGGAGACGAGGAGGCGGTCAAAGTCGGGCGGCCGGGCGGAGCGAGTGAGAGAGAGAGAGGGTTTGGCCCCGCTGGATACGCCAGGGCTAATGTAGAGAAGGGAGTGCGTGAGCTGGCTGCGGAGGCGTATTCTGTGTCGCGGGCCGCGGCGCGGACCGGAATTGTTTACTGCTCTTGAGGGGAGCCCGGGCCCTGGATTGTTGGACCTGGTTCGGTCGCCTGCCAGAGATTCCAGCCCAAATGAGCCATCGTATATGGGCCGGAACTCCTCTTTGATGATCGGTCAGTGTCGTCCGTCCAGAGCCCTGACGGTTTATCATCGGGGCCCACCCGCCTGGTGGCTGCTCTGCAGCTGTGCCCCCGCCGGCTGATTCAGTCAGGAGGCCAGCTGGCTAGGAACAGTTCCAAAGACAAAAGCCAACGGAAAGGGTTTTTTTTCGGAGAAGAAAGGTTTCTTTAACATAGCAGACGTATATACTCACCACCATGAATACATACATGTACATCCTGCCCCTATGAGCACTTTCAAAAGACCCATGCAAAAAAAAAAACACCTTCTGAACCGGTACAGTGTCAATCTATGACTTGAACTTTGGTGAGCTTGGGATATAACTGTCCTCTTAACTATCCAAGCATAGATTGGTTCGCTGAAAGACTCATTTTTTATGCACGTGCTTCCATCTTCTTGAACTCAACTCGGAGAAACTTCCCTTGGCTAAAGAAAATACAACAGGAAGTAGTTAGATATTTTGCGTGTTTGGTAAAAAAACATCTTCATGAACTAGATTAGTGTGTCCTTGGTACGTGTGCGAATGTGTGCAAACAGGGTTTGTGGACATGCCCATGAAAACTTTATTTGTCTGTGCACCATTTGATCGTGTCTTGGTCGAGGGATCTCTCACCACGTCAATTCCTGGCCTCGAGGGCCAGGCTAAGGACCACTAGGTTGGTTCCATCCTTGGCCACATTAGACGGCCAGTGGCGGATTACGCGAAGAATTCGGAAGACTTGACTTACAAGACAAGCGAGACCAAGTCATGGAGGACTCTACCTCCACCTACGTAGCCAATTAGGATCTGTAACCTTAGGAACCCCAGTGTGTTTCTTTTAGAATAAACCCCAGTGTGTTATATAAGCCCGGAGTCGGGCTCATAGATAGACACATTAGAAACTCTCGATACTTGTATGTATTTTGTACACATCCCAACGCAATATATGTTGGGGAACGTAGTAATTTTAAAAAATTCCTACGCACACGCAAGATCATGGTGATGCATGATAACAAGAGGGGAGAGTTTCATCTACGTACCCTCGTAGACTGTAATCGGAAGCGTTATGACAACGCGGTTGATGTAGTCGTACGTCTACACGATCGACCGATCTAGTACCGAAAGTACGGCACCTCCGTGATGTGCACACGTTCAGCTCGGTGATGTCCCACGAACTCACGATCCAGCGGAGTTTCGAGGGAGAGCTTCGTCAACACGACGACGTGATGACGGTGTTGATGATGCTACCGGAACAGGGCTGCGCCTAAGTACCGCTATGATATAACCGAGGTGGATTATGGTGGAGGAAGGCACCGCACACGGCTAAGAGATCAATGATCAACTTGTGTGTCTATGGGGTGCCCCCTGACCACGTATATAAAGGATGGAGGGAGGAGGAGGCCGGCCCTCATAGGGCACGCCCAAAGTGTGGAGTCCTACTAGGACTCCCTAGTCCTAGTAGGATTCCAACTCCCACATGGAATAGGAAAAAGGGAAGGGAGAAGGAGAAGGAAGAAAGGGGGACGCCCCCTTTCTCTAGTCCAATTCGGACCAGTCCTTTCTCTCCTTTCCTTTATGGCCCATAAAGGCCCAATACAAATTCCCGTAACTCTCTGGTACTCCGAAAAATACATGAATCACTTGGAACCTTTCCGATGTCCGAATATAGCCTTCCAATATATTGATTTTTACGTTTCGACCATTTCGAGACTCCTCGTCATGTCCCCGGTCTCATTCGGGACTACGAACAAACTTTCGTCATCAAATCAACCTGGATGCTCATATTGGTTCCTACATATTCTATGAATATCTTTATCGGTCAAACCGCATAACAACATACGCTGTTCCATTTGCCATCGGTATGTTACTTGCCCGAGATTCGATCGTCGGTATCTCAATACCTGGTTCAATCTCGTTACCGGCAAGTCTCTTTACTCGTTTTGTAATGCATCATCCCGCAACTAACTCATTAGTCACAATGCTTGCAAGGCTTATAGTGATGTGCATTACCGAGAGGGCCCAGAGATACCTCTCCGATACACAGAGTGACAAAACCTAATCTTGATCTATGCCAACTCAACAAACACCATAGACACCTATAGAGAATCTTTATAATCACCCAGTTACGTTGTGACGTTTGATAGCACACAAGGTGTTCCTCCGGTATTCGGGAGTTGCATAATCTCATAGTCTGAGGAATATGTATAATTCATGAAGAAAGCAGTAGCGATGAAACTGTAACGATCATAATGCTAAGCTAATGAATGGGTCTTGTCCATCACATAATTCTCCTAATGATGTGATCCCGTTCATAAAATGACAACACATGTCTATGGTTAGGAAACATAACCATCTTTGATAAACGAGCTAGTCAAGTAGAGGCATACTAGGGACCCTTTATTTTGTCTATGTATTCACACATGTACTAAGTTTCCGGTTAATACAATTCTATCATGAATAATAAACATTTATCATGAAATAAGAAAATAAATAATAACTTTATTATTGCCTCTAGGGCATATTTCCTTCAGTCTCCCACTTGCACTAGAGTCAATAATCTAGTTCACAACGCCATGTGATTTAACACCAATAGTTCACATCACCATGTGATTAACACCCATAGTTCACATCGCCATGTGACCAACACTCAAAGGATTTACTAGAGTCAGTAATCTTAGTTCACATCGCCATGTGATTAACACCCAAAGAGTACTAAGGTGTGATCATGTTTTGCTTGTGAGAGAAGTTTAGTCAACGGGTCTGCCAAATTCAGATCCGTATTTTTTTGCAAATTTCTATGTCTACAATGGTCTGCATGGAGCTACTTTAGCTAATTTCTCCCACTTTCAATATGTATCCAGATTGTGACTTAGAGTCATCCAGATCGGTGTCAAAGCTTGCATCGATGTAACTTTTTACGACGAACTCTTTATCACCTCCATAACCGAGAAATATCTCCTTAGTCCTCTAAGGATAATTTTGACCATTGTCTAGTGATCTACTCCTAGATCAAAAATTGTACTCCCTTGCCAAACTCAGGGCAGGGTATATGTAACGCCCCGAGACCGTTGCGCCAGGTGTCTTCCAGTTATTCCTTGTTGTGGCCTTGTCATTTGCTTGCGTGTTGCATTTCATCATGTCATCATGTGCATTGCATATCATGTTTTCAAAACCTGCATCAGTCTGGGTTCCCCCAATTCTGTCTGTTGTCCGTTCTGAGCCCAACCACACTTGCACGCGCCCGCGGCATGTCCAAAATAGTATTTTATAAGTGGCCGATAAGTGTTCTCGGAATGAGATGAGAGTTGACGTGTGGTCTTATTTTAGTGTAGCTAGACCGCCTGTCAAGTTTCATCGTATTTGGAGTTCGTTTGATAGCCCACCGTTAAACTATAGCGGCAATATAGCCGGTCAAAAGTCGGATGTTTTTGGTCTCCGGAAATAGTTGCCGGGCTGCACTCCTCCCCTCTCATCTCAGTCCAACCCATTTTTCACAACCCACCTGCAGCCCACCTAGTCCATCCTCCTTCCCCTCTTCGCTTCCGGAGTTGTCCGACGCGACCGCATGGTCCGAAACCCTCTCTGCACAGTGCATCGAACCCCTCACATGCGCGTCCGAAATTGTCCCGGACCCGACCCGGACTGTCGCCACCGTTGTGTCCGGATCATCCCCAAACGTCTATAAAACGTCATCGTTTTCTTATTTGGGCTCCCTAACTATTTTATCCGCGATCGTCCGATTGCGATCGTAGGGACGAGGTAGCCCCTAACCTAGTCTGTGAGGTATATATATACTCCACTCCTAGTCTATTTGGACAAACCCTAAAAATTAGGACCCTTGTCCCATCCCACCACCGCCAGCATCTCCCACCTCGGGATCCTCCCCGATCCAAAATATCCCCCTCGTTTCTTCATCGGACCAGCCAACAAAAATCCATCCTTCCCTCGAACCCTTCGCTCTACCGAGCCGGAGCGCTCTGCCTTGCGCGCACGATCCAAGGGAGGAAATCTTCCTCTGCCATCCATCGCCCAAAGGAGCAAGGCCCTCGTGCCCGTTTTCCATCGCCTTCACCATCCCGCGAGCAGCAGCAACAGGACCATGGTCTTCGTCCTCGCCTCTTCCTCCTCTGCTCGAGACGCGCCCCGAGCATCTCCACCCTCGCCGCCTTAGTTGAGTGTCGCCCTGGTTCCTGTTCTCTCCTTCCTCCGGTCCCCTCATCTCAACTCCCTCTCGCCTCTCTCTACAGGAATCCTCCAGGACGCCGCCGCCATGGATGGGTGAGCCCCGCGCCGAGCTGCAAGCCCCTGCGCCCCTTCCGCCGGAGAACGCCGCCCTGCCCCGGATCCACCCGTCCCTGGCCTTGCCGCATGACACCATGCCTTCGCCTCCCCGGTTACCGAAGATCGCGCCGCCCCTGTTTTCCCTTGACCCCCTCTGGATCAAGGAGAAGGACGATGACAAGCGTGCAGGCCGCGTGGGCCGCATCCAGCGCCAAGATTCGGCCTGCTTCCCCTCCGAACCGGGCCTCAGCCCAGGGTGAGCGCCCCGGCAGCCTGCAGATTCAGCCCATTATGTTTTTTTTAGTTCAGGAGGTTTTCCGTAATTTTCCAGAGACGACCGTTTTGCAGAAAGGTCCCTAAACTTCAT